TCTTTGTAAAAAATTCTTAAACAAACTTAGAAAAAATGCATTTCATACTAGAAGACCCCCACCAACGTGACATAGGTGTGTAATTGTCTACTTCACGCAGCAAAAGTAGCATAGCATGTGACGAACAGTTTTCTAATCAAACACTAGCCAACATACAGTAATTAATTTGATCCGAATTCAAAGTGACTGGTCAAACTTACAGCAACTTGGTGAATCTTACTAAGAAATTTTCTGAAGGATCCCAAGTACCAAATAACTTTTGTCGTTGTTTGTGGAAACGAATTTTTATCCTCTCATTTTTCCCCATTAGATTCGAAGGCTGGTAAGGCGTTCGGATTACGCGGGATATCGCTCATTTTAGATCCAGTAAATCACGATTATTTATCAGCCATTCGTGAGAATGGAAGAGAGTATGTGGTATTCGATGTTTAGCCGACTACATTGGGCGTTGTGCGAAAATAAACCATCGTGTGCCACGTGCAATTGCTCGCTCGGTTTCGGGGCCGTGAAATTGATAAAAGAAAAATGGCCGTTTGTCGAGTGTAACCGTAACGGGAGGCCGGTGGTATTGCAAACGAAATCGAACTCTTTGTTTGGCGAACGGATATGAATTTCGTCATAGATCGTTCGTTTGTGGTGCTGCAACAGGGAAAGGTCTAATGCCAGATGCTACGCGAATACTATAGTTCGCCTCTCGGGTGACGACATTTCTATCGTACCGGACCCTAACAGCAACGAATTTAGGTTTCTCTGCTAATCATACAGAACACTGGCTCTTAACCTTTTCGATCTCATGGGTACGTGGTTTAGAAGATTTCCAATATCAACTATCAAATGACCTGGCACGTACGAAAATAAAAAGACTAACGGTTAAAATAACAATCATCAAACTTTATCAAACATTGTCAAACTTACGTTTTCGCTCGTTTCTAAATCTACAATTATTTAAAATAATCTATTAAAGACGATATTTTCGAGTATACTCAGTGATGCATCGTTGGTCATCGATAACACTGCTCTGTTATAATATTCCATCATTCAAAATACACAGTCCCCTTTGAATAATTAACTCGTTGCCTCGTAACGCTGCGTTAGACTCGTGGGCTCGGATTACGGTCCAAATGTGACAAACACGACTCGCATTCACGACTCATGGTACTAATTTTGCTGTCGTCGACGTTCAACGTCTGCAACGGTTCAACGTGCACAACGACTGAATTAGTGGATTCCTGTTTGATATCATAATTTTCGACCGGATAATTTACGGATTATTAAGACACGAAATGATAACCATGGGAAGGTCTGGGTCGTCCTGTGAAAATTATGAAGGGAAAGACGCAAGATCAAAGAATCGCGGTGCTCAACTTCAACTCGAACGATGTAACGCCACGCCATTCTGTACAAGATATAGCTCGATAACTTTAATTCTCGATTAGTGGAATAATACGTTCGTTACGTAATCGTTGAATCTCTATCAATCGGATTCCTATCGAAAGAGCAGACGATGTACACACCGCTTTATCTGATAAAATGTGCATTTGCGTTTACGTGAAATTGATAGAACAAAATCATGCTTCTATTTAAACGTTTTCTATGCTATAACAAACTTAGAGTTTTAAACTAGAATGCATCATCGCGATAACAGCGATATTAATCGTAAATTGTGGTTTACGATGAAACGATCTTTTGCAAATATTCTGGTCATGCAATCTGGAATCCCATTCGGAAACTGAGGCTTTCAGGAGAACAGCGTGATTTATTCTGATCCCACCCTATCAGCGGAGGGTTAAAGCGTCGATGTTTATCGAAGTTCCTGCACTTACGCAATCATTCGACATAATTTAAAAGTAATCGTACGCTACGCAAGTGGGTCGTGCACGCGGAATGTTAACGCGTTTCGTTTCGAGTCGCGCGAATAATTTGCAACGTTCGAAACGTACCGAAGTCCATGTTCCTTTATTAACGCGTTCTATCGATTTCGCGTGAACGTGGGGGGTTTTTTTTATGATGCTTCAGGTGAGATGCAGCGTATATCTTCCGACTGGTTGTCCATGAATGCCACGGTACTACGATTCAAGGCCGCTATTGACAATCTATGACCTACTATTATTTTCAAACGCCACGGAGACGTCAACGTGTAACGCGAGCGCAACTTTCCAGTTTTCTTTTCGTTTTATTGCGAAATATCGTTTCGCATATGACATCCACATTATACAGCTTATCTGGTTTTTATCGACGATCAGCAATATTCTATTTATTTATACTTATTGTCGCGCGAAAGAATCAAGATCTCGACGACGCGCGATAATGCATATTATTAACAATGGTTTTCCACGATCGTTGATTACGAGATAAACGTAGTATTTAGATATCCCAAAAATAGTTAAGATTACGAACAGTACATTCTCAGTGGCTAAAGATCTTTATAAAATAATCGTAAATTAAAATTAAACGTTTGATTTAAATATGCCTTTAATTATTCTCGATTACTGATAACTTGAGACATGTTATAGGACTAAAATTATTCGATTAAACAGGGTGTTCGGCCACTCATGGGGAAAAAATTTTAATGGGAGATTCTAGAAGCCAAAATAAGACGAAAATCAAGTATATCAATTTGTTGATTGAGGCTTCGTTAAAACGTTATTAAAAAATTTTAAATCATTCTGAAAGAATTATTTTCGGTTGCGGGGATCAATTACAATAATTTTTGGTCAATAGACATATCCCCGAATTCCTATTCAGTTTCGAGAAAAAAATTCCTAACAGAAATTATAATTTCTGGACAGAAATGATTACCCAAAATTTCATGTAAATGTTTAAAATATCGTAACTTCTAAACGGATTGGGGGATTTTGATACTTCAAACGGCAAACAACGCGTACTTTAATGGAGAATATGTAGCGATTTCAAAAATATTCGAGAAATTACTCCTTAACCCCATAAAAATGGTCCAATGTTCAAACGTTCATAACTCCCACAATAATGAACATATTTCAATGAAATTTATTTCTGAAGTAGAATTCATGGATACCTACAAAAAAGTATTAAACAACATTTCCGTACAGCGTCAAACAAATTTATTAAAAATGAAAAACGAATTTTTAAGAAAAATCGACAGGGTGCTGAAATTTTTCGCCGAAAAAAAAATTTCAAATCGTTCTGGAATAATTATTTTCGGTTGCGGGGGTTAATTACAATCATTTTTGGTGAATATCCATACCCCCGAAATCCTACGCATTTTCGAGACAAAAATTCGAGTAGGTGCTGAAATTTTTCGGTGGAATTAAAAAATTTCAAATCGTTCTAAAAAAATTATTTTTAGCTAGGGAGGTAAATTATAATCATTTTTGGTGAATACTCATACCCCCGAAATACTACGTACTTTCGAGAAAAAAATTCTTTACCGAAAATATATTGTGTGACCGGAAATGTTTCTGTAACTTTTTAAAGGAGGCTCAATCAACAAATTAGTATCCTTGATTTTCGTCTTATTTTGGTCTCTAGAATCTCCCATTAAAATTTTTCCCAAGGTTGGCCGAACACCCTGTATAACTGAATATTTGATGTTTAACACTAGAACTACCAAACCAGTCAAAATGACCCATTCGTAATTTCTAATAAAACTTGCTAATAAAATTTACTCGACTGAATTTTTGAAAAGTTATCGTAATTTTCTATAAGAGAATATATAAACATCTATTTCCAATGCATTATATATTTCGTCGCGTATCTATCGTTTCAATTTCTTTGGTACAAATAAACACACTATAATTGTCGGTAGTTCTAGTGTTATAGTGTATCTTTATGAAATATCCTAACGTTTCGCGAGTGTTTCAGCTAGCTTCTGATACTGTATCAGTGTTGTCACTTGACCCCTGAAGAATTCTTTTACAAGGACACAACTCACACCCGAAAGCCTCAACAATATAATCAAGTTACACTCAATATTAAACACAATTTAATACATAACATTACTGGTTTAAAGTTTTTTTTCCTGCCCCCCAATTAGCTTAGTGCATCGAGAACTTCCTTGAAAACCCGTGGCCATAAATCAACAAAATACATAATACGCACGTAACATTGAATGAAAATAAAACCTATACATCGAATAAAGTAATTTTTAAATACACGTTAACTTTCTATAAAACGTCCTTCGACGATGTGTTAATAATTCCAACGCATAGTCTCTATGGAATTTCGTCTTATTCCGGCCTATAGAAACACTCCCTAAGAGGAATACCATTAGTAACGCACACCCTGCGTATGCGCAGTAAAGATGCTTCTTTTCGATGCTCCAAGAATCATCGAAGGTCCCCCCTTTTTGAACGACGTGATTGTATCCGTGGCGATAGAAACCGTTCCCGTATGGAACCGATGTAATAAAATTCTATAGAACGTCCAGTAGACGTTTCAAAGTACGTATTTCGTTGATGCGGGCCATTGAGGAAACTTCGAACACGTGTACCAGTGGACTGGCAGTGGAATCGAGAGGAGTGGGGATAAACATCGTGCGTCGTGTATAGACCAATGCTAGCGAGTAGCTCGATAAAGTCACTTTTACCGCGCTACTCAACATCGTACGAGCGTATGGGTTTGCGATACGTGTGTAGGAAACTCCTCTAAACGACGTCGGCTAGAAACGTCTACTTCGAAGCTCGTGTGGCTTCTCTGCTCGCCAAGAAGATGTACAAACGCGTAATTCCTGCGCTACGCGGGGCCTCGTTGCGTTGCATTTGCTGTTCAGATAGCAGCGCAACGTATCGCATGACGTTTAATTAAGTATGTACGCACACATTGGGAACGACGTACAGTTTCTAATGCAGTACAATGGTAAATAACGTTTCTTGAATCTCGGTCTTAACACACTTAGTATCTTACAGAAGTGTTGGATCAAACTAATGTAAAAAAGTAGTTAGAATAGACTGTTTCCTTGAACCGTCAGGATACACTGAACTGCACGTACGAGCCAAGGATATCAATGTACTGAGTTTACTTACCGTTGAGACCGTACTTCTCCTGGTTCCTCTTCACCTGATCAACGGACAATCCTTTCTCAGGATCAACGTTGAAATAATTTACCACCTCTTCCACGGTTTTGCAATGGCCGTCCTCCATGGTTGCTTCTGTATTAGTTCGTCACTAATCTTATTTCTTCAATTGTTGTCCACGTTCATTCACACTGTAGTTTCTGCAATACAAACATACTTTTGATTAGAGCTCAATTATCCACAGAATGAATATTTATAAAGGGTAGCTCGCAATGCACTAAATTGATTTTTATAATGCAAATTTAAGGCAGTGGAAATTAATTATCCGACAGAGATGATGATGAAATGAAGAAAATTTCGAAGAAAACGGGGAGAAACGAATGCTTCGATACACTTTTAATTTTGAGAATCGAAACTCCGACACGAATGATTCACAACCGACACGAACGTGCCACGCGTTCACCTGGCCAGAAGTACGCGTCGAAATAGAAACAGTGGAAAAGTAGGTCTAGACAAAGGACACGAGACCGAATACACCGCGTGCACGCACTACGCGCAAATCGTGTCGCGAATCGTATCGGGTTGAAACCTCCGTCCGTACCGTGGAAATTTACGACGCGTGCACTTGGCTCGATTTTCCTCGTTTACTTTCGAGCCACGACGCCGACGCTGGATTCAACGTGAAAACGTAACTCACCAGAAACGGTTACGGAGCGTTCGTTGACGACGTGTCACAGAGAAATTACGTTACGGCTGCCGAATATTTAGGTTAGCTACAGGTCCCTAAGATGCACTCGAGCACACAAAAAAAAACGAACAAGAAAACGAACTGGCACGAACAAACTCGCCGGACGCCGAGATTAATTGTCCTGCGACCGGAACACGACGTATCACGATACGCGGGCACAGAAATTCGAGACGCACGTCATTTTCTTCACGGATATATTTCCTCTAAATGCTAAGCAAACCTCCTCTTCCGTGAGACTGACACAGCGAACAGCGAATCATTGCGCACGTGCGCCACCTCGCGGAGTGCGCCATTAACAAGTTGCAGCGCAGTTCCCACCGCGCGGTCTGCGGATCGCGCGAACGTAAATATCGGATCACGTCGCGAATATCGTAACTGGCTGTCGTTGCTCGTGTCCAATGCCTCCTCGTTACCGTACCGCGGAATTCCCGTGACGGACGTTCGCACGTTTGTCGCGTATTTTGCGAAACGCGCGTCCCAAGAGACGCGCCACACCGCGGTCGAATGCGTGCGAGTCGAGCGAACCGAGCATGTGGAGCAACGCCATTGGCTGGACAGCGTTCGTGAAGTATGACGCGCTCGGCTATTTTCAGTCTTCTGCTAGTCTATTTCCTTGGCGCGTATTTTAAGACATTCAAAGGACATTACTATATTGTCGTTATGTAACTGTTTGCTCTTATAATTTCATTTCGAGGATTTTTCGTGGCACGATTCTCCGTACTATTTCGAACAACGATGGAACCGTTTCGATTCGACGATCAACAAGTCGAGCAAATCGAATAAAGAAATAATGTTAATTGTTGATCGTACAGAGCAAAACTGTACAACGCTTTTCGCTATTTAACCTTGACGTTTCTACTCTTGGTTTGGGCATCTTTGAAAGAAAAATAATGTTCGTAACGCGATAATATAGTTTAGCGAAATTAGACCTAGATTTTCAAAATTAAACTATATTTCTGATTATAGATCGAAAGGTTGCGGTACGAACTTGTCCTATTTAACGAGTTATAATACGTACAAAGGAAAATTCGTTTTCTCTAAAAGCAAACTATTAATATGTACTTGTCGCCACGTGGTTTCTATAGATAGTTTTCTTTCCTCTTTTATTTTTCAATTTTATTCAAAGTTACTCTCTGTTTTAATTATATATATTATTTTATGATACTTATTGAATTGTGCAAGTTTGTAACTTCTCTGTCCATTATGGCATTCCGTCTAATTTTAAGAGTCACGTATTATTCATTTCTAATTGTGCTGAACTACATTATTATATTACTAGTATTAGATCACTGTCTGCTATCCTTTCTCGTTTTGTTAGAGAGCTAAACCTGTATTTCCCATCGAGGGGCAATTTTGAATATTTTGGGGTAGAAATTTATGCAGTATTATGCTATGGGGGGAATCACAATCCTTGAGACGTTGAGGTGGGACATGATTCAGTAAAAAATTAGGGAACACTGGACTAGCCCAAATCAGTAGTTGAAACGTCGAGACTATATATTAAGAAATAATGTTTAGTTATAATAAAGTTAAATATTGCTCTATATGATCAATTCTCACACACTAAATTTATTTTATATTTAGAACAACAATGATTGCTTTTCACCGAATAATGAAATGTTTGTTTAGTTATGTAATAATGCCAGGGTTTTCAAGCTGTATGAAATTTTGCAAACTGATTATGTAACGAAGAAAAATTTAAGTTGAGTGGACTCTTATTCAGTTTTCTACGAATCTAAACTGTCAGGGTTATTCACACACTCAAAACAAATCGTGAGTTTTTATCACTGCTGACTTCTTAATATGACATTTCGTTATTTAATAATAAGATAAAAGGTAGATTAGCCACAATACGAGAAGAAGATGTAAAAGAAGTTTATTTATGGAAAAAGGTGCTTAAATCTAGGTCTTAGATCAGATTCAATTATTGCAGATTATGTGAAAAAAACAATGTGTTTCCGCAAATAAACTTTTAAAAAATTTTAAAAATCGCTAAACTACCGTTCGTATTATTATTAACCAAATGGAGCGGCTGACGCATCTAAATTTATTTACGATATTAATATGCTAATGTCAACGTGTATACTAACTAATGTCGCGTGTAATTCGAACTAGATCTCTAATTGTTTGATTATTATTCTCACGTTAGTTTCGAACGTAATCGAGCACACAATTATTCAAACGCAATCGAAAAGTTGTAAACCACTTGGAGCACGAATTGTCAAACTCGTATAACACGAAAAAGTAACGGGTAGCGTTATGCTATGCTTTCGACATAAATTTAGATGAATACTCGAAAGAAAAGTTCGTTTATTAAACGATTATCCTTAACATCGATTCGATCCCTCCTAGGGATCGCGAGCGTCGATAAAAATAATTGTTCCTAGACACGGAATTTTCCCCAACGTTTTCCATCATTCGTTGACACGTAGGCGCAAACATGGCGGATGGATCGAATCCGATCGCGCGTTATCCAGCTAGGAAAACGATGTTAGTACTAAAGCACACACGAAAAATCTCAATGTCGATCGATCGTTGCACGTTCAAGGTCGACGCGGTTCGAACTTCAGATTCGAATCGAGTTCGAAGGTCGCGTCTATGGAACGTCGAAGCCAAGGTTAAGCGCTAAACTTAAGCGTCGGTGGAGGAGCAATGTAATCGAGGGTCGAACGGGGTTACGGCCATCGGAATCCGTCACAAGCGACACAGCGTACGAAGAACACGCCACAGGACCGATTTCGCGGATGATCTTACGTTCTGACCCGCACGAGTTCGACGAACAAGGATCTCGATCGTCGAACAGAGATCCCGACGGAATGACACCTGAACGAAGCGTCCCGTTCGATCGGACCCATCCGAAGATTCCTCCTCCCTCTCCCTTTCTTTCTCTCTCTCTTTCTCTCTCCCCCCCCCCTCCCTCTCTCCGCCCCCGAAAGCGCATTCAAACTATTAAAAACTCCCGCCAACTAACCCTTTCGACGTTAATGTAAGCTGTTCCGTTGCACCGAGTAAAATGCCTAAACGATCATATCAGGGCTAGATCGGACGAGGTTCGAACAAATCGCGGGCTAGGAAAGACAGACGACTGCGGCCAAACAGGCGGTTGTGGTCGCACGGGGCTGGCGGAACACTTGGGAACCGGTCCGAAACCTGTCCGGACGACCAGCTCGCTCGAACGCCCGGGAAGCGACTAGCCGGCCAAAACGCGCGTGCCCTAGCGGACGATTTTAGCACGTCTCTGACGACGACTTCCTAATTATTTTGGCAGAGATGGCCAGGAGGCACTCTGATTTCTCTCCCTCCCTCTCATCTTGCTCTATCTTTCTGCCCCTGTCCCTCTCTCTCTCTCTCTCTATCTGCCCAACGTCTCCTTATCTTTATCCTGATTCTACTCTCTTTCCTTTCTGGGGGGTTATATACTCAGTCATTTTGAAATAGTCAACGTAAACTTTAATCGCGATAGAACTCTAAAATAAATATTTTTTTTTTAGGGAGTAATAAGAAACAACGATGGTGTCATTCGACGAGTCGTTTAAATTAATAGCGACGATCGCGTTAGCGCGAAAATATCGTTAGGTAACCGACTGGCGGTGATATAATATTCGAATCGTTACGATGCGGCGGAACGGTTTCTATTTGAAGATGAGATGCAACATGGTGGACGGGCTATAAAGATAGGAAATGTAGTACGTTTGTTGGCAAACAAGTAGAGGTCGTGTTTGTATGTAACGTGAGCCTCACATCGACACGTCCGATGAAGCAATACGCTATGTTAGCCTGGCTGGATACTTGGGCGTACTGAGCTCGGAAAAACTACCGATACTCGACCTGAAGCTTTTTAATATACGTCGATTTTTTTCGACAACGGTGAAATTAATTGCGAAGAAAAATTTAATCAACAAGTTACCAGAGTCTAACCATCGATTATATGAAATGGAAAATCTGACGAACGTTAAGAGAATCGTTACCAAAGAGACTGGTCACCGAACACCGAACTTAAGACCAAGAAACCATCGAGTCACACATAGAACGAGGACAAAAGGCGATATTAATCAGCTAGTCTCTCACGCCTCTCGTAAAAAATCCACAATACGGTCCAAAGGTGCGGCTAGTCCCTTTTAGCTTTATCGTCACACAACACTTGTCCATGTACGTTCGTCAGCGCTGGCTCTATCCTCCCAAGCGGTTTCTGCACTGTGTCGCCATGGTACCGTATCACAAGAACACTAACTCGGCGATGTCACCGGGGCTCGTGCGAGCAAGCAGACTTACCAATGCTTCTTTCACCAGGCCCGCGTTAATTCTATTTCGTCGCTTTATCGGAACCGGCACCGTAGGTCCCGGGCCTCGCACTGGTTTAGGCACGTGAATTCGTACGGCGATCGTAAAAAAAAACGCAATGTTTCGTCACACTGTTGCAACTGATACCGCTCTGGAGACACCGAATCGGCTACTCCTCCCAGAGCATCGCTCGAAACGCGTGCTTGCTATTTACTCTTTACATGAAGGGTCAGGGCGATAAACAAACAAACATCCAAAGGGCAACGGCTGCGCTGCTGAACAAAACGAAGCGACGAACGTCGCCGAAATTCCTTTAAATAGTCCGTAGGCGTCGCTACCTGGCGGCGAGACACCGAACGAGGGAAAACTCTGGCCGGAAGCCAGTGGTCCCGGCGACGGCCGCACAGCCTCCCGTGACTGTCGTCGCAGTTTTTTCGATTTAACCTTCGAATTCAACGAGCCGACGATTGCGGAGTCTCGGAACGTCTCACCGGGATACCGTGCCTCGTCCACCGCCTCGACGACCGCCTCAACGACAAGGAACACGACCTCGAGCGTTCTCCAGCCGCTTCAGCAGGACCTCCCTGTCACTGTGAGCGGGTCAGAGTGGACCTCGGTTACTTTCGGTGACGATTCTTTTCACTTTTATTCGCGCCCCAGAAATTGTGATAATAATTGTTAGATGAGCCATAAATCGGTATTCGAAGCAGGGGGCGCAACCCTTAAGGCAGGCGCCATTTTAACGTAGGCGAACGTTGGGTAGCTTAAACATTCATTTCTATTAATAGATTCATCTTTGGAATGTGGCGACTGCAAGGGTATATTTTTCTCATTTTAATCACGTCTACATTTTGTAAATATGTTGCATGTTTTTTTGTGAGTCTTTTTATGTATTATTTATTGGTGAGCGAATTTTGCAAGCATTTAGGCTTTCTGTAAATAATTCATTATATTTGATGGCATATAAAATTTAAACAATAAGATGAAATAGCATCAGGTGGAAAGAAATAACGAATACAATTTTTTTTATCGAAGGATTTGTCTTAAAAACAAAACTTCGAATGAAAAAATGGCTCCTTTCTCGGGTGTACCATTGATACTGGTACGTCCTG